AATGATTGATTAGGTAAGGAGCCCAAGGCTCTATAAGTACATGGCAAGGTGAGAGTGAATGGATGAAGGGGGAATTGGAGGGAATCCGCATTGGGATCTCTGGAATCTCCAATTGGGTAATTGGAGATTGGGGGGATCAAAATTGGGTGAGGTTGGGATTTGTGAGTACATCCCAACCTACTAGAACATTCACAACCTAAACTAGGATATAAAAGTACAAATACAAAAGTGGTATTTGCAGTCTATTTCTAACACACCCCCATAGACTGCAAACCCGATCAAGGAGCACATAGCCCCATGGAACGGAGAAGGCGATGGTGGTCAGCCCTGCCAAGAGCCTTGGTAAAGAGGTCGGCGAGGTTGCAATCTGAGGCGATGTACCGTACCGTCAGCTGGTCACTCTGAACAAGATCTCGCATGAAGAAATGACGAAGTTCGATGTGCTTGGTGCGAGAGTGGAACACAGGATCCTTGGTGAGGTGAATGGCACTCTGGTTGTCACACCACAGGGTGGGCGACTGCTGGGGGTAGCCTAACTCAGCAAGGAGAAAGGAGAGCCAGCGTGCCTCTTGAGCAGCCATCGTGCCCGCGTAGAGCTCGGCCTCGCAGGACGACAGGGAGACTGCAGAGGACCGAGTGGAGCGCCAGCTGATGACTCCGCTACCAAGGGTGAAGCAGTACCCCTGGGAGGAGCGTCTGTCAGTCTGGTCATCGGCCCATGAGGAGTCTGTGTATCCCTTGAGCTTGACTGGAGAGGTACCACCAAGAGTGAGGATGTGAGACTTGGTGGCTTGTAGATAGCGGAGGACCCTCTTGGCTGCAAACCAATGCGAGGCAGTGTAGCGTCCGGGGGAGACGTACCGAGAGAGGACACTAACCGGGTAAGCCAAGTCTGGTCGAGTGCACATCATGGCATACATGAGTGAACCGACTAGCTCAGGATACGGGTCCTTGCAGGCGTCAGGAGAAGGAACTGGAGGGGCCGTGAGCTGATGCTGTAGTGGGAGTGGAGTGGAGACTGAGTTACTGGAGTCCATTTCGATTTGCTTGAGAAGGTTGTCGATGTAGGACTCCTGGGAGAGCGTGATCGTGCAAGCCTGGCGGTCACGAGTGATCTCCATCCCCAGGTAGTTCTTGAGGTCACCAAGATCCTTCATGAGAAGGGCGGAGCTGAGAGCAGACTGGACAGCTGCAATGTCCGCTGGATCTCTGGCGGCTAGAATGAAGTCGTCGACGTAGACGAGGATGTAGAAGGGCTCGGAGGAGTGACGAACGAAGAGACTGGAATCCGAGGCAGAATAATGGAAGTCAAGTGCGAGGAGGACTTCCTTCACCTTGTTGTGCCACTCACGAGGAGCCTGCTTGAGGCCATACACTGGGCGCTTCAGCTTTCACACTGTGTTGGCAGGATTAGTGCCACGAAACCCTGGTGGGCGTTCCATGTGAACATCCTCCTTGAGCTGGCCTTGGAGAAAGGCGGAGGAGGCGTCCATGGACTTGATCTCGAAGTTGCCGCGAGCGGCTATGTCAAGAAGAGCGCGCACAGTCGGGAGCTTGGCCGTGGGCGAGAAGGTTTCGAAGAAGTCGAGATACTCCTTCTGGGTGAAACCCTTCGCCACGTATTGTGCCTTGAACAGTGGAGCTTCGCCTGGGAGTTGTTTGACTCGGAAGATCCATTTTCCGCAGACGTGTTGACACCGGAAGGGGGAACAACATCGTCAAAGCTGTTGTTGCGAATGAACGCCTCGTTCTCCACATCCATTGCTGCCTTCCACTCCTTGTTATAAGGCCCCGAGAGAGCTTCCTCTTTTGTGCGAGGAGTCGAAATGGTCGGGTTCTCGGTGAAGTTGAGGAAGGGCAGTCAGTAATGTCCGGGAAGATGTGAGAGAGAAATTGGCAGACCGCGTGAAGGTCAAACAGCTCCTCATGCCTGTCCTCCATAAGTGCACGGGGGGGAATACGGATGGAGGGGACATCACCCCTGGCAGGAGGAGGCGGGGTGACCGAACACCGGATGGAGAAGGCGGCTGGTCCCCAGGCGAGAGGCAGAGCCGGTCCCTTGGAACGAGTGCGACTAGAGACCGGAGACGAAGGCGGCTGCGGTGGGACCGGAGGGACTGGGCGCCTCTGATAGGAGACTGGTGAGCCGGGCTCGACGCGCGGGGAAGGCGGAGCAGGAGGAGGTGCTGCTGCGGAGGATACTGGGGAGGCCGCGTAAGACACGCCGGACGGAGAAGGCCCCGGAGAAGGGGCAGCGGCCGGAGGTGGGGCATCGAAGTCTGCCCAAACAAGCGTCGGGGGAGGTGGAGGAGGATCGCCCGTGGTCGCAGAGTGGAATGGGCGTGTCTCATCGAAGACAACATCACGGCTGCGAATCAGCTGTCTGGTGATTGGGATGAGGAATAAGTAGTCTGGGGAGTTGGAGTTGTGCCCCAGGTACATGCAGGTCTGGGTTTTGGACCAAGCTTGCCACCTTGCTTCCTGCGCGTGTGGGGGCTTAGCAAACACATACGCGGTACACCCCCAGACGCGTTAGAGAGCGGGCGGAAGGCGTGACCCCAAGCCAGAGAGCGGTAGGTCTGGTGTCGGCCGGTGGGGATGCGGATAAAGATTGTAGAGGAGTGCCGTATGGAAGAGGGCATATCCCCAGAGTGACCGTGGTGCGTTGGCGTGACTGAGGAGGCAGCGAGCGATCTGAACCAAGGTGTGGTTGCGGCTCTCTGCAATGCCATTCTGCTGCGGGCTTTCGGGGAGCGTGAAGGTTTGCCGAATCCCTTGGGCCGCACAGAAGTTATCGAGTTTGCCATTGCGAAATTCTCCCCCGCCATCAGAATGGAGGCACTTCAGAGGAGTGCCGAACGTGACTTGAGCCTGGCGCACCCACGCCATGATTGTTGGTGCATATTCGTTTGCACGCCATCCTGTCGTTTGTTCGCATCATTTCGTTGCATGTGTTTTGTGTGTTACATTGTTTGTATGGTTTGTTGGGTTTGCATGTCTTTGCATGTTCATCTTATGCTTGTGCAGATATGCTTGGATTGTGCATGACATCGAGCACATTCCAACGAGCCAAGAATTGTTGGAATCGGAGCACATATGAAGAAGTTACGAAGAAATGTTTGATGGATTTGTTACAACTCATTGGAAGTCCTTGTCAGCTGCTACACCAAAGTTGGAGAGCCCTATAACGAGGAGGGACCAGCATGTGTGGGACTCTTGTCCCCACCCTGCAGCTGCAGCATTTGGGGTTTGGAGGCCAACCTGGTACAGTGTGAATTTTGTCTTGCCAGGCTGGCTGAACCTGAGGATGGGGAGTCAAGACTTTGACTCTTGTCATGTTCTTGACCATGGGCCTCCAGGGTCCTTCCCTTTCATCCTTCCCTTCCATCCCTACCTTCCAACTGTGCTTCAATGCCTTTTCCATCATGCCTCTGAACTCGTAAGCTTCAATTATAGTGACTCTGAGGATTGTCAACTCTCTTAGGGCAGATTACCCCCAGTGCCAAACGCCATAGCTCGCTCGTTAAGCTACGGAAACAAGTGATTCAACTTTCAGAGGAAAGCTGACGCTGCAAGCTACAACATATCTGATTTTCAGATTGTTTGACCGATTAGAGTTTTGGATATAGCTTTTCGAAAGTCGAGAGTTTTCTGGGCGTCATAACGAAGTGCTGCAGAAATTTCCAAGGAGCCATTGAATCATCTGCTTATAGCCTTCTCTAACCAACAATGATGACATCAGGTGCCTCCGCCTTGGTATGCAGGAGGTGCACAGAAACATACCGCGAGTGGTCATGGACTAGTGTAAGAAAGTACGATGACCGCCTCGGGATGCGACTGGAGCTGGGCCCCACACATCCATGTGCACTACTGTAGGTCCAGCGGAGCAGCTGCGACGGATGGAGAGGAAGGGTGCGGCGGCTTCCTGAGCTTGCTCTTGGTGAAGTCCAGGCAGGTGGGTGCAGGTGAGTCTGTTGGTGGAGGAAGCGCCGACGGGAGGCCAAGAAGAAGTTTCTTGGAAGCGATGTCGGCAAGTGTACGGAAGTTGGGGTGACCCAAGCGATGGTGGTAGAGGATGGTTGGGTTGGCGAAGCTGCGACACGAACACGGAGTGGTGCTGGCAGCTTGCGCTTGGGAGAGGGCGGCGAGAGGTGCAGGTGAACGCAGCGTGTAGAGCTTGCTACTGTTGAGTGTGAAGCGTGCTAGGAGCTTGTTGGACTTAGGGTCGAAGAGGTCACAGTGATCCGAGTGTGCTGGGAAGATCGTGGTGACGCCTGCCTGTTGGAGCTCGTGTTGGGCCACGAGATTGTGGCGTAGTGTGGGAACACACATGCCAGTCACACTGCCCGAAAGGAAAAGCTGGGCACAGAACTGTGGAGGAGCCTTTGGCGTGTGTTGTGAAACTGGAGTCTGCTCCAAGTAGACGGATTGGTGTCTCGTATGGCTTGAAGGAGTGTTCTTCCTTGAGAACCGTGTGAGTAGCCCCACTGTCGAGGGTGAACTCTATTGTGGCTGAGGTGCTTTCTGAGCCAGGATACTGCGAAATCGTCTCATTAATCATGGCAGTGCCAGGGAACAACATGTTGAGGAGCACATTAGCACGTGCATCCACAGCAGCCTGCATGGATTCCTGCGCTTCGACTTGATTGACTTGGCGAGGAGCACGATTGACCATCCAGCTTGGCGGCTTCTAGGCGGTCCCATTGACGGCATACCACTGGTCATCCTTCTTCTTAAAGCAGGAGGCAAGGGCGTGGTTGGTGGCGCCACACACCTGGCCAGCACGAGGGCCGCGCTTGATGACGTAGGGACACGGGGGGAAGCGGTTGCGCTGGAATGGCACCAAAGCGGCATAGGCTTGAGGCACGGGAGCGCGGATTGCATTGGCTTTGGGTTGAGCGCTGTTGTCCATTTCGGCAGAAAGGAGCTCGGATGAGACCTTGGAGAGGCAAGGTACTACCTGGGAATGCACATTGAGCGGGAAGTGGTTACACCTTGGCTGAGAAGTACTCTCTGCAGGAAGAACGGGAAGTGGTTACACCTTTGCCTTCCGAGTTCAAACTCATAAAGGCAGCTGAAGGAGAAGGAGTTGAAAGTGAAGACCAGAGGCAATTCCAATCCATCGTCGGGAGCCTACTCTACGCTGCTGTGCATACTCGGCCTGACATCAGCTTTGCTGTGGGACAGCTGGCTCGAGTAGTGCAAAATCCAACAGAAGAGCAGTGTGGTGCAGCGGAGAGAGTGGTGCGCTACCTCAAGTCATACCCTACAGTGGGAGTACAGTATTCAGCCTCTGCTCAACTCAGGCAAAAAGGAGTTGAAGTCCTTCAAGAGAAGGGGGAGCAGCTCGGAGAAGGAAAGGTGTTCCTTTCCTGTTTTGCTGATGCCACGTGGGCTTCTGAGCATAAGGATTCATCATCAGTTGGTGGATACATCTGCATGGTGGGAGGTGGGCCTGTAAGTTGGAGGTCCAAGAAGCAGTCTGAAACGGCACTATCTTCAGTGGAATCTGAGTACATGGCAATGTTTCATGCGGCAAAAGAAATCATTTGGCTAAGGAGGCTCTTGAAGGAGATCGGCCATGAACAGACTTGTGCGACACCTCTGTTCAGTGACAGCAAGGGAGCCATAGCCATGGCACGCAATGCAGTTCTTCATGGGTTGAACAAGCACATGAGGATCAAATGGCATTGGCTGCGGAAGGAGGTGAAGCTTGGGACACTGGATCCGATCTACGTGAAAACTCAGCAACAGCCAGCCGACTTCCTTACCAAGCGGCTAGCTGAAGAGCCACACTGGCACTGTGCGAGGATGGCGGGAATGTCCTTGAACTAGAGACGGCGAAACAAGCCGACAGTCTGAGGGGGAGTGTGTTGGTGCATATTCGTTTGCACGTCATCCTGTCGTCTGTTCGCATCATTTCGTTGCATGTGTTTTGTGTGCTACATTGTTTGTATGGTTTGTTGGGTTTGCATGTCTTTTCATGTTCATCTTGTGCTTGTGCAGATGTGCTTGGTTTGTGCATGACATCGAGCACATTCCAACGAGCCAAGAATTGTTGGAATCGGAGCACATATGAAGAAGTTACGAAGAAATGTTTGATGGATTTGTTACAACTCATTGGAAGTCCTTGTCAGCTGCTACACCAAAGTTGGAGAGCCCTATAACGAGGAGGGACCAGCATGTGTGGGACTCTTGTCCCCACCCTGCAGCTGCAGCATTTGGGGTTTGGAGGCCAACCTGGTACAGTGTGAATTTTGTCTTGCCAGGCTGGCTGAATTTGAGGATGGGAAGTCAAGACTTTGACTCTTGTCATGTTCTTGACCATGGGCCTCCAGGGTCCTTCCCTTTCATCCTTCCCTTCCATCCCTACCTTCCAATTGTGCTTAAATGCCTTTTCTATCATGCCTCTGAACTTGTAAGCTTCCATCATAGTGACTCTGAGGATTGTCAACTTCTCCTAGGGCAGATTACCCCCAGTGCGCCAAACGCCATAGCTCGCTCGTTAAGCTACGGAATCGAGTGATTCAACTTTCAGAGGACTGCAAGCTACAACATATCTGATTTTCAGATCGTTTCACCGATTGGAGTTTTGGATATAGCTTTTCGAAGGTCGCGAGTTTTCTGGGCGTCATAACGAAGTGCTGCAGAAATTTCCAAGGAGCCATTGAATCATCTGCTTATAGCCTTCTCTAACCAACAGAAAACACATTATTTGATAGATGACTTTTGAGTGATGACAAACATCATTGAGAGATGACCTTTGAGTGCTGACAGCACATGATCCATAGATGACCTTTGAGTGATGACAGCACATCATAGACATATGACCTTTGAGAGAAGACAACACATAATTGAGAGATGACCTTTGAGTTATGAAAACACATCATCGACACATGACCTTTGAGTGATGACAACACTGTTAGAAATAGACTGCAAATACCACTTTTGTATTTGTACTTTTATATCCTAGTTTAGGTTATGAATGTTCTAGTGGGTTGGGGTGTACTCACAAATCCCAACCTCACCCAATTGTGATCCCCCCAATCTCCAATTACCCATTTGGAGATTCCGGAGATCCCAATGGGGATTCCCTCCAATTCCCCCTTTCATCCATTCACTCTCACCTTGCCATGTACTTATAGAGCCTTGGGCTCCTTACCTAATCAATCATTCCAACTCTATTTCTTACATGGTATCAGAGCGACCTATCTGCACACACGGATCAAGGTCCTAATCTTAACGTGCCCACGCTACGCGCACTTGATCGTCGCGATATTCGTTTCGAGTCGTCGGAATTTTGACGTGCTCCACTCTGCAGTCGCGGTTTCATCGTCGACCGCCTTCGCGCTCGACCTCGTTGAATTTCTCATCTCTGAAGCTTTCACGCTTCTCATTGTCGATTTCCTCCTGGGTTCTCCTTGGTCGAATCTCAATTTCGACCATCTCTTAAAACTCGTTCTCGAGTTTCCCCTCAGACCCCGCCAGAATAGGCGAACTCCCATTGCAAAATCGCCTCCACGAACGTCACGCGTCAAGCAAGAGCAGGTACACATGTTGAAGCGGAGCGGAGCTGGTTGCGGAGCTGGTTGCGGAGCTGGTTGCGGAGCTGGTTGCGGAGCTGGTTGCGGAGCTGGTTGCGGAGCTGTGTAGCTGTGGGACAGGGCCTGGGGGTGTGTGGGGGGTGTGTGGGTCCGGGGTTAGACATAGTCTCAGATTCAGTTTCAAGTCGGCGTTTTAACGCATTTT